CCCCAAAACCCCAAAACCCCAAAACCCCGGAGGGTGAGATTATAATTGAGTTGGTAGTTGGTATGTTTTTAAGAATTATTTCTGGTATTGTAGGACCTTGTTATTTTAGTGATCGGAAGTAAGGAGCGAAGTAAGATTGATCATGAGTTTTTCTGGTCTTTAGAAGTAGCAATTTCAGAATAGCCCAGTCAATTAGAATTCCGTCTTCTGTCTGAGAGATGACTCCTTCACTCTTGATAGCATTAATTATTAGGGTGGGCAAAGGCTTATAATAACCTATAAAGCGAGCAACCTTGTCTTGCTTGTTTGTCTTAGCATATGTATTAATCCAGGTAGTTATTTGCTTTCTCAGCTTCCTCATGGAGGTCAGATTGGGTATGTTCTCGGCTTCATTGGTGACAACCATCATTTTGAGGGTAAAAATAACCATTTCTGACAAAGCTATTGTGTTATTAAGATACATGCTGGGCTTCTTTAAATTAGCCGCTTTCAAAATAATATTTGGTGTAAATGAGTCAATGGTCAACTCAACCTCTCCAAGACCTGTTAGCAACTGGTAGCTTATAGTGACTCAGAAGGAAGACTCATGAGCATATTTGGAAGTCAGCCTTTAAGCCACTTTTTATTTCATAAAGTCAGGAAGACATACACAAAGAAGTTTTGCCTCTCTTGACTGTCCATGTGAGAATGCTTCAGAAGATGATGCTCTACTGTGTTGCTGAGATAGGCTATTAGTTTTGGAAAATGCTTGCTCTTCTCATTCTTCTTGTTTCTAAGTTTTGGAACAAGGTCTTTGAAGGCTTTTTCATACTTTGTGTTACCTTGCCTTAATTTGTTAAAGAAGCTCTGCTCCATAGGCATAATAGGCACCCTGTCTTTGTAGTATTTTCTATTATTTACAGGCTCTCAATATTTTACTGGTGAAGACTCAGATTTTAAAGGTATACAAGGACTTGCTTCATCTCTCCTTAATTCTTTGCTTTCAAAAGTAAAATTAACTTCAGAATTTGCTGTATTCAAATTCAGAGATCGTGGTTTTTGAAATGTGAGTTCAAAATTTTGGAGGTTATTGCTGGACTCTTTAGCCATAAGCTCTTTCAGAGTTGTTGGAGCTCTTACACTGATGCAGGAGTAGGTCTTATCAGTGATCTCAAGTTCCTCATATATTTCTTTTGGAATCAATAATCTGTCTGTTGAATAAACGACAATATCGAACTTTCTGTTCACAAGGATTCCTATATTCATGAACAGAAGAGCTTTAGAGAAGATGAGTTTGTAGGACTTTCTGGCCTTAAACGTATAGCTAAGCATGTCTTTGATGGTTTCATTGTAATGAAAATGAGTGCTGATATAGAGATACAGAACTATGTCATTACTTTCTATCCATCTTCCAAACCTCTCTCAGAACTCATTATTCTCTGCCTGCTCAGCAAGTTTATCAGAAATTTGGTTTAAAAACATTTCTTGAATAGCCTGACTATCAAAGTCAAGAACCAAGGCTTTTTTGCAGGTTGCTAAGGATGAGTGACAAAGATCTTCCATTTTAATAATTATATCAGAATTCCTTCGTTTTGCCTAATAAATTAAATTTAGGTTCAACCAAAATATCAAATAAGGGGTTTTGGGGTTTTGGGGTTTTGGGGTTTTGGGG